AGGGGGTTGGACTAGATGACCCACAGTGGTCCCTTCCAACCCCTACTATTCTGTGATTCTGTGATTCTGTAGGAAATTGCACCACTGGAGATTTTTTTTGTTTTTGAAAGCGCTCTCTCCGGCTCTCCTCTGCCTCCTCCGTTCCCAGCCGCAGCAGGTGAGCGCCAGCTGGCCCGGCAGCCCCTCGACAGGTTCAGTGCTGCGCAGCGGTGCTACTGGGAGGCTTTTTATTCTCCAGATGCGGAGCTGAGTAGCGGATACCGCACCCGCTGCTGCCCGCACCCGCACTACGCTGAGCTGGATGAATAGTCGCGGCGTTTGGGCTTACCGGTTGAAACGGATTTTGGTACTTTCAGAGGGTGGTTTTATACCCATGCATTTTAAATGCTTCATGCTGTTTGAGTGTTACAGACTTGTGCTGATTTGCAGCTACATGGTCTTGGCACTGGATTTGGAGGTCCTGTTTCTGGAGATGTACTAGGAGATGGACTAGATGGACTAGGAGATGTAAGCAATTCTGTATGCTGATGGACGTCAAAGTTCTCAAATACTGTATTTCGTAGCATTAGGAAGTGGTGGATAGTGCTTCTTCATCACTAGATTATTCAGTTTTACCTTGAAGTTGTAAAAATGCTTTGGAGTGAAGACTGGAATCCAAATAAAAATGCAGAAAACAAATGATTTATTTAAAACAATGGCAAATATGCAAAATATGAAAGAGGAAAGGAATTTTTATTACCAATTGACTTATTTGTAGTTGTTGAACTTGTCCTTCAGGAGTTGAGAACTATCAGATCTTCTCACTTCATTTGATTCATAGATCACAAACTTTCCAATTCCTAATCAGCTTCTCTGCTCCACTTGCTGGGCTGGAGTGAAGCCTCTGTGCCACCGCCGAAGCGGCGTGAGGCAGCAGAAACTGCTCGGTCGAGACTGGGCTTGTGTGTGGAGCCGGGATCTCTGTTCAGCCCCACCCATGCGGGTGAAATGGTGAGGGAAGCTGTGGGGCAGGCAGGCCCGTCTGCGGTTCTGGGACGGGAGCAGCAGACTTCAGAGCTCTGTAAAAAATCACGAAGAATTGTTTTCACTTGGTCACGACGTTGCTCCAGAGTACCTTGGCGTTTGCTTCTCCAGTTCGGTGGTTTGATTTTCTTCAAAACTTAAAGACTAAGCGTGATCTTGAAAGCACGTGCTGAGGAGGTGCTCCCCGGTCCGGAGAAACCCTTTCGCTGCTCCTCAATGCTCTTCTAAAATTGTTTTTCCACTCTACCTATGATGCCTTCAATCCTCTGTATCTGAATATCAGGAAAATGAAATCAGCTTTTCCCTAGTACGCTTCCCGCAAGTGAAACTTATGTTAATTGAATTTATAACAAAGTTTCTTTGTGCTTCTACTTGAAAGCAACAAGCCACGCGTGATCCGCTATGCTTTTCTTCCCCTTTCTTTTAAAACCCTTTATAAAACCTCCCGTTAACTTTGACTTTTTCCTTTGCACCTTTCACGCTAGTCAGTTGTGATTTGTGTAACACCCACTCCAGACTGTGTTAAAAGGCAATTTTTGCTTTCATATCGGTCTTTTGCACTCTCTAATCCCTTCAAATCTTGCCTTAAATATCAGCTGTCCTCTCTCCTGCTTTGTTTTCCGTCCGTGTGGCTTGCGCGCTGGCTCCAGCCCGGCAGTCGTGTTAATCCACGGCTGTTGTCGCGGGGGCCAGCGCTCCGGGGTTGGGGACTGCCGGGTTCGATACCTTCGCTGGGAGCACGAGCGTTCTCGGTCTGCTCCTAGTTTGTAGCACGAGCGATTCCTGAAATGCTGCGTGTCCCACGCGACTCTGCCCTTTGTTTTCAGTGGATTTGGGACGTATCGTACCTGCTTGCTTACGCTTCTCCAGTGCTTGCTTTTGTTACCACCTCCTTTTCGTGCGATTTATCGGAAAGCGTGGCTTTTTGAAAGAAGACCCTGAACATGGGTAGCGATGTTCGTAAAGGGCCAGAGGCGAAATTTGACGGCGTGCATCACTTCGGCTTGTTGTTTGCACACAGCGTCTCCGCCGTTGGGCCCTGCTCCGTTGTGGGGTCCCCAGCTGCGTAACAGCGCACGGCAGCGGCGGGGGCCAAAACGCCGCGCGCCGAAGCCGCGTTTCCATCCCGCCTTGTGACATGTCGAAGCATGATAGCACCCAAGCTGTGTCGTAACAAAACCGAACCCCGGTTTTATGGATTTGGACAAAAGGGTTATAAACAGGAGCCTGATTCATCGTCAGACAAGCTAAAACTAGTTATGCAGGGTTTAATTTGCAGTATAATGATTCCAAAGGTTTGAAAACCCTAAGAAGGCAGCAAAATCATTTTCCACTGTACCATATGACCGAAAAGTACATCAGGATGCTGTAACTGGGCCTTTGCATTCAGTTGCGACTGATCTTTTGTGGGCAGAAAGCTGGCTTTAAGAGCTGGGGAGGGGAAAAGTGCCCTTGATACTCTTTCTGCATTGAAGGCGTAAGATCCCATTTACTGTTCTCAGTAATCATGTTTCAGAATGGCAGGGTGAGCAGTCTCAGCTGCACAGAAATAATTCTAAACTAAAATACATTATTATGTGAGCATTTATGTTTAATTTTCCTAGGTGAAGCAAAACTCCAAAGCAGGCTCTTTCTCTGCTCAGGTGGCTTGCAAATCAGGTCTGCTGAGCTGTTTAGTTTTTTTTTTTGGAAGGGATGTAGTAATTTATTTATTTATTTTCCTCTCTTTCCCCTCCCCCTGCTCCTTTTTGAACAGGAAACCTCCATTTTAGAGGAGTACAACATTAACTGGACTCAGAAGCTGGGAGCTGGGATCAGTGGTCCTGTTAGGTAAGACGTTACACCTGCGGATTTGTATGTAATCTCAGCCGGTTTCGTTAGTTGTGGAGAAGTGAGTATGTATTTTAATTGTGATGTGATACGTGGAAGACCCTTTTTATGAACAAATAAACATCTCTGTACGCCACACGGGTCGTAGCTGCTGCGCGAGCGAGGTATTGTCTTTATGGGATGTGTTTGAAGTAAAAACTCTGCTCGCCGCTCTGCCTTGTCCCGTCTCACTGCCGTATTCCCGAAGCAAAGCGGCAACAGGAGCCGGCTGTGAAACGGTGGCAGCAGAAAATGGCAGCAGAGAAGTCTGCTCCAACACCTTTGTCCTTTTGATACCAGCGTCGGTGCGGTGCGAAGGTCGCTGCTCCCGTCTACGGTGTCATCGCTTGGGGCATCGGCACCGGGCGCCCGTTAGCTATTTTTACCAGCTATTTTTTCACATCATCATGTGAGGCCACAGCAGATAGTGCCGCGAGCTCTGCAGCTCGTACCAGGGCTTGCCCATCGTGAATTTCTAACCCCTGCAGGCACTGGATGCTTTCTCTAAAGCAAAACGTGTGTTCCCTTTTCAACAAGAACTCTCCTTTTGGGAGCAGGAATTTGCAGAATTGCTGAAAAGCAAATGTCTGCGCCTCTCTGTTTCTGGGCGCGTGACAGAGCGATTGTCTTTCGCCACCATTTATCTTCCTGGCCAGGCAATTGGTTTCTCCTCATTCATTTTCTGTCGCTGTGTTGCCTCTGATCTTTGTTAAAATATCCCTTTGTTTTTTATTCTTTTAGCTGCCCGTTAATATGTGGGCCTTTCCCTCTGACGCAGTCCAATTGTGAATGTTAAATGGGGGAAAGAGAGGAAAAAAAACCATGTGTGGCGCAGTTGGTGGCCTTGCTAAAACAGGGATTTCCATTCAGACGCTCTTTATTGCAGACTGCACCCTCTGTTGGAGATATTCAGGCTGCCACTGCGTGGTGTGGGGTTTTTTTATCAAAAATATCCCTTCAGGCTGAATGTCTGGAGTGCATTCTGCTTCTCGGCAGGTCCCTGGTGCCCTGAAGTACTGTTCCTGCGTTGCTGAAAGTGTAACTTTGTGTTGGGTGTTTCTGCGTAACGTGTTCGATTGTTGTGGAAGGCTGAAAGCTGCGGCTTTCGCGCTGGGACGCGGTGCCGGGTGCCCTGTGTGTTCCAGATCGTGGGCATTCCCGTCGATTCCCACGCGGGGAGCAAGCTCGTAGCTACAGATCAATTGTTTGAAGTGTCTCTCTAACGTTCTTGCTGACCGAATAATTTTATTGCTGTAATACCAGAGTCTGCGTGAAAAAATCCTCTCAAGAGCGCTTTGCACTGAAAATTCTGCTTGATCGTCCAAAAGCTAGAAATGAGGTACGGTTCCTGTTTATACTGCCTGCCTGCTGACGCACCGCAAAGTCTCACCCTTATGGTGACTTGTTGCAATGGTTTAAAAAAAAAAATAAAAAAACAACTAAAAGAGAGAGAGTTCTGCAGATCTTGCTGTGCAAGATTCCTCAGGTTTGCCCCTCTAGCCTTGCTGCGCTCGGTTCCTAGAGGGGGAGGTGGTGGGTGAAGCAGAGGGTCTTTGTAACTCCGAGTTTGCTGTAGGTGTTAGCTCTGTACGTACAGGTGTAATTCCTAGGGCTGCGTGTTAAAGCTGGTGCTCTCCCTGCTTCCCATGGAATGTCACACGAATGGTTTAGAACTGATCTTATGTCCCTACATCTCACTCTTGGGTCTTGCTGCTGTAAGAATTGCCAAGAGTGCTTCACGTTGCACTCGACATGGTATGGGTTGACCTGTGTACCAGCTGGCTGATCCTGCCGGTGACTTGCCGTGGCTGGCGAGAGCGTGCCCCGGTGCCAAGCTGTCAGCCCGCTGAAAACAGTGGGCAGTCGCCCAGGATGTCACGGGAGCGAAAGAAGCGTGAAATGTCCTCAAGGCTTAGGCAGCTTCCATTTCTTGTCACTGAGCAAATGCACGTTCAAAATTCCCGGGGAAAAACAATCTGTTTGCAAAGAGCATCGAGCCTTGACTTGGTTCAGC